ACGACCCAGCCAGGCCCGCCCACGCTGGCGTCGGCGGAGGGAAGGGGCGGGTCGGGGCACGTGACGCGACAGAGTCTGTGCCCGCCCTCACGCCCCGCCCTAGGCACCGGTCCGCATGGGAGCGGGCAGACTTACTCAAGTGACACCAGTGACGGGGTGAGGCCCCCATCACGTGACCTAAATGATCGACTCGCGCTGCCCCTGCCCCGCCTCTCACACGTCACGTGGCCGCTGGGCGGTGTGACCGCGGCAGCGCCCCCTGCCGGAGGGGGTGGGGAGCGGTGTGGCTCCCCCCCAGGTCTAGGGTGCTGCAGCCGCCGCATCGTGTTTACATTTTTGATAGCGGAGGAGTTTCCCTGCTTGAGTCATGTGCAAAGTGCCACCACCCCCTGCCCAGCGCCTGTGGGTCCCTGAGCCAAGCCTTTTGCCTGGCTCAGGCAGCCCCAGGACTTCCCCTCGGCCCCATTTGCACAAAACCTGAATCCCTTTCTGCGCCCAGCAGGGTCCCGCAGCAACCCGGGTGCCCTTGGGCACAGATCTGCCTCTCCACCACTGCTGCTGCCACCTCTGAGCTGTGTTGGGGCTCCCAGCCACCACCCTCGTGCCCACCTGGGCCTGGTGGCAATGTGTGAGGCTCGCTGGGCCACCAGGGTGAAAGTGGCTTGCTGCTCACATGGGGCTGACATCTCTCACCTTAGCTGAGGTTTTCCTTATGTTCTTTGCAGTGTTGCTGCTTCATTCCCATGTGTGCTGTGGGCCACGACCTCTGACCTCAGAGACAGGACCGTCCAGTTTTAAAGCACAGCTCTCGGTGTTTGCAGAGAGGTCTGAGGAAGGCCGCACAGGCCATTTTGCCTTCGCTGCCGTCAGGCCAAAGCGGCCTCTGGAGCCTTGCTATGGGAAGGCTGCTGAGCCTGTATTGATACAACAGAGAACATGGCTGAGAACCAGCACAGCTGCCTGAGGTCACACAAGATTTGCTTGAGCTTAGCGAGACGGACTGTCTAAGACACCCTGCTGCTAAGCATAGGTGCGAGGCAGGGCTGATGCTGTTGCAGTGCCACTGGCAAATGAATAAAAAATAAGCACCGTCAGAGATGGCATTGGAGAATGTAAATAGAACACTTTTCTGGCCCAGGCGTCTTGATGTCATCTCTGAAAGCTGCTCCATCTATCTCTGCCTCTTGCAGCAGGGATGGACGGAGTTGGTGGTCCTTTGGCAAACCTGTATCAAGGCTGCATGAGGCCAGACGCTGGAAACGAGCAGCAGGAACAGAGATACAAGACCGTAGCTTTGTTTTTCATTCCTTTGCTGGCATTTCTTCTAAGTACAGAAAGTTTACTGTTCTTTTTGTTCCTTTACAAGTTGTGCAGGAGCCTGTGGGTGGAACAGGGCAGCCAAATGAGAATTTAATGTATGGTTTTTCCATTGTTAGCCATTTTGGGTTCCTACTAAGACTTTCTTTAATTCCGTTCAAGTGACATGATAGTTGTCTTTAACTAAAGAGGAGTTAGTTAAGCTTATTAAATACACAGCAAGTCAGGAATTACTTTGCTCATACTTAGAAAAAGCACAGATAAGACAGCACATTTATTTCCCCATGGAACATCAGTAACAGAAATAAGTAACCCCTTCTTGCTTTTATACACAGTCCCTTCCTAAACCTTTTCTGCTTTCCATGATGGTTATTTTGTTTTGAATAAACTTTAGCACTTTAGCAACTGTTTAAAATATGCAGAGGAATTAATGCCCCTGGTCTCCTTGGCCACTGTCTCTAAAATATCCTTAGAACAATAGCACTCTGTGCTTGCATGTGCCATCCAGCTAAAGGCTGTCAGTTGTGTTGTGAGACTCACGTTGCTCTAGGAAATTTTACGCCAGTATTTAGTAAATTGCAAAATGAAACAGACTCACTTGAGGGTACAAATACACATTGTTCACACTCATGTCCTCTTTGTGGAACGGTTTTGGAATCAAAAGATTTTGTAAGGCACAGTTTTGCAGTACTGCTTGTACAAAGAAATGGGAAACCAAATGAGATTTTATCACTGTATCTTACATTTGGCATGAAGGATAAAGACTCAGCTTCCAAAGGGCTCTTTTTGCCTATATTCCAGATTATTTTCTGTGTGTGTAAACTGTAGTTAGAAGAAACAAACAAATACTAGATTATTGGGTCCTCTGCAGTGACTATTCAATAGAATGGAAAGTACCTATTACATGGCCAAAAGCATAACAGTATCTCTTGGGATCAGGCACTCTGCACAACATGTTACATTTCCACTTGTATACCAAGGGTTGTTTATTGCACTTCACTTTTATACACAGCTACTGCTGTCTGGAAATTCTGCAAGCTAATGTGGGACAGGGCATGAGCTAATACACTAGAATAATTTGTTAAACATGCTACCATCCCTTCATAATGCTTGTAGGAATAACAACTTCCAGCTCTCACTCTTTTACAAGAAAGCATGAAGTGAGAGCTCTTGCACCTGTGCAGTTTGTTTTTCTGTTTATCATAAGCTGCTCTGAGCCTTGTGGATTGGGCAGGATATACATCTAATAATAAATACAGAAATCAAAAGAGGACAGTAAAGAGCTGAGCCTACACAGGTTTAAGTCAATGGTAGTTTTGCTATGGATTTCAGTGAGAGCAAGCACACGGTGAAGAATGTGACATTAGTCATTCACAGTGAGAGTTATTTAATTAGTAATTGAATACAAAATCACAGTCCAAGAAACCCTTTAAGAGTTTTGCCAGCTGAAGCAATTAGACTAACTTCTCTGTTTGTTCAGTAACTGTTCAAAGAGCTTTCACACTGAGTGCAGAAATGTACTGGGATAAACAGTGTGGAAGCCCTCTCTGCCCACATGGAAATAAGCACTCAGTGGTGGTGACACAGGTTCTGGTGCAGAATAGCCCTGGTGTGGCGTAGGGGCCTACCTGGAAAACAGTGTACGCAAATGATATCCTGTGTAATTATATAAAATATTTTTCATTTCCATTTAATACCAACCAGGTAGGAAGCAGGGATTGCCACAAAGATCAACCCATTCTCTTATTTTTGCTATTAATAAATAGAGTTGCTTTCTACCAACCCTTAAATTCACTCTGGCAGAATTAAGCCTCAAGTTATAGAATCTTCCCTCCCCCACGCAAGTCACGTTCTTCACTTATTCCAGCTAAGCCAAGATTTCACCCAAGTAGTCTACTGGTGACTTCTTATATAACTGTATGTATGGGCACACAGCTTTTTGCCAGATAGCTGAAGTATAAAGCTTCATACACTAGTGCAATTGTTCAAAACTACTGAATAGAAAATAAAGATGTATAAAATGTCCATACTTTTGGTTTTGCATTTCTTATTTCTAGATTCATAACATACCTAAATGTCAGTAGGGAAAAACATTCAAATAAAAAAGAAACAAAAAGTCTGCCACATCTACTTTGGCTGAAGCAACACATTAGATAGTATTTCAGCACTAAACTTGCAAATATGTGAAATAGGAGATTATGATAATAAATATTTAGCCATATTCTTAGTTGTGTTTTTTTAACAGTTAGCAGTTTCATACTGGATGAAAAGCAAACAAACAGTGGTGAATTAAGAACTTTCTTTAAACTGCATTCTCTGTTCATGCCCACTGTGATAATACTTCCTTACATGACAATGCAGTAAAAATATGGGATAGTATACATGTCAGAAAAAGAAAAATTTTCCATACAAGTCGCATAGAAAACAGAATTGCTACATGGAAGCTTATTTTTGTAAGATGAAAAAGTCATCTATGGTCATTGAATGGCAATATTTAATTTGTAGTATCTTAAAATATGTAGTATCTCTTCTAATTATGTTTTCAATTTAGAAATGAAATACTGTGATAATTTTTTTAATGTTTTAATTTTTGTTTCACTATAGTTCTTATTTTGATCTATAAGTAATAAACCACAGTCTCCAAAATTGCTCAAACACTCAGGGATAGAGTCTGAGGTAGAATATGTTATAGCTGTATTGACCTTAGCTGAGCATTTCATTCAAGAGATGTGATTCCTATTATGCAATCACTATACCAGTCAATGTTTAGATTGTTTCTGGTCCTTAAAATTGCTCTGGAGAATTAAAAACAAAAACCATGGACCCAGATTCTGATTTATGCTAACATGCAATGGACTGAGATGTATACTTGAGAGAGAATCCTGCAGGATGTGGAGTTCTCCAAACTTCCATTGGCTCGCTGTCTCATGGGTTGGGGCACTTATGGTTAGAAAGCTTGGTCTTTTGGTAACTCCAACTAGCGGAACAGTCTCTCTGTTGAGAGCGTTTACCTGAAGGAAATCTTGGCAAAATTCTTGGTTATTTTACAGGAATAGTCCCATAGGAATCAAGAAAGGCAAACACAGATTTGGCTCATCGTCTAGCCTTTTAATCCAAACAAAGGACCAGTTCCTGCTCATTTGCAGCTCCTTGCTTCTCAATGGGAATGGTAAGCTTCCTGCAGAAGGAATCACAGTACCCCAGAGGATTAGAGTCTTGCTGTCCAAGACAATTCTTGAAAAATCTTGTTATACATTTCTAAACATTTCTTTTTTAACCATGAGCCTCAATACTTCATGTTCTCCTTTGTACAAAGAAAGATATAATTAACATTCTGAAGAATGTCATGTATTTGACTTCTAGCTATTCAGAAAAAAATCCTGAAGGTAAACATTTTTATTA